CACAGACCTTATTTCCATTGAAAATATTTAAGTAAATCAAAATAAGGAAATAAGGAAGTACCCCCCATTTGGATTCAATAAAAAATACTAGAAAATTGAAATCCAACTAAATCAAAATGTAGAAATTCAATTTTAGTACAAATTTAGATTTTCGACAGTTTTGGTAAAAATGAATCCTTATGTAGACCAATGTAGACTTGGTCAAAAATTCTAATAAAATCAGTTTAGGTTAGTTTAAGTATAAAGAGTTATTACCGGGAGAAATTATTTTGAAATAATCATTATTTCAAAACTCAATTTTTCACACTTAGCCAAAAACACAGTTTTTCATGATGCGCATTCTGAGGTCCTAATGTCCGTTACCAACTTATGGTAATGAAGGCTTCTCATGCCTTAATTGTTGACCAATATGAATTACATGATTGATGTGCATAGTCTTAGCATTTCTAGCACAAGTGATGAGTTCTTTCAAAACTTATGCAAGCTTGAACTAACTCACTCTTTAGCAATGACTCCATGTGCAATTATTTATGAATGAAGTGCATAGTCTATTACTAATATATATAGGAACATATGAATGATGATATGATATGCATGATCCTATAGAGATGAGTTTCAAATGGATTCATAAATACTTTGACATTGAATCATAAACACTCACCATCCTATCTACCCCTTTCTTCATGCTTTGTCCATGATCTGTAGGCTTTCAGGTAGACTCGCTTTCTTCCTTTATTTGAGTTGCTTTCTTGCTCATTGTAGTCCAAGCTATCTTTTGATGGACTTTGCATTTGCTTCTTTGCAACTTCATGTCTTCTTTGTATCCATTGCTTTCCTTGATGCGATCTTGAATAATGAAATACTTGGAATGATCTTTATAACTTTACTGAGGTCATTCTATGAATGTTAATAATCTATATAACACTCAATATAAACATTAGTCCTTAAACATCATCAATGGTTTGTTATCATCAAAACCTCTAGATTGTCCTTGGATAGAGTCCTTAAGGTCAACAATAAGTAAAAAGAAAGATTTATCTTTTATTATCAAAATTCATAATCCGTGTGACCCACTGACGAATTTTAGACACTTATCTCTCACTTTACTGCCCAAATATAATTAAATGATCATACAACACTTATAAAAATTAAAAGACCATAATACCCTTATATTAAATGACAATTACCTTTCTATATCTATACTACAAATAAAAGTGAATTCGTTTTCTAATGTTTATATACAATTTATTAGTCATTATAATTCAATAAATATATTAAATCAATTATATAAATTTAGTCAACATATGTAACTTTTCACATACCATGTGACTTTTCAAACAATTGTTTCCTTATAAATTATTATGTTCTTCTACACACATATACATGTACTAAGAAAAGGCACGTGCGATACACATGATGAATGTTTTGTAACTTATAGAATTTTTGTTTTCATTTTTTTTTTAATGGTTAATTTGAAACATGTAACAATAAACCTTATAAAAAAATTGCAATTTTTTTATAACTCTTTTTATATTAATTAATAAATAATTTTTTATATTAATAAATAAATACTGAAATATTTTAAAATTGATAAAATAGATAATTTGTGGTACAGTTTTTTAGAAATTATTTTATTTTTTTGTAAAAATATTCATAATAAATAGATAAATAAATGTTATATGTGATACAGTTTTATAAAAATTATTTTATTTTGTTTAAATATATTCTTGTCTAATTAGATTTTATTTTATTAAAAACTCATAATAAATAGATAATGTGATAGAGTTTTATAAAAAATAAAATAGCTAATTTGTGGTACATTTTATAGAAATTTTTTATTTTCCTTAAATATATTCTTGTTTAACTATATTTTATTTTATAAAAAAAAAAAAAAAAAAAAAAACTCATCATAAATAGATAAATAGGTAATATGTGTTAGAGTTTTATAGAAAATATTTTAAAAACACTTTTTATATGAATTAATAAATATTTTTATATATTAATAATTATTGTCTAATTAGATTACCTTTTATTAAAAAAAATAAAAAAATAAAAACTCATAATAAAAGGTAATTTGTGGTAGAGTTTTTGAAAAATTATTTTATTTTTTATATCAGTTAAAAAATATTTTTTATATTAACAATTCTTTTCTAATTAGATTTTCTTTTATTAAAAAACTCATAATAAATAAATAAATAGGTAATTTGTGTTAGAGTTTAATAAAAACCCTTTTAAAAACTCTTTCTATATCAATTAATAAATATTTTTTATATTAATAATTCTTGTCTAATTAGATTTCTTTTTATTTAAAAACTCATAATAAATAGATTAATAGGTAATTTGTGTTAGAGTTTTATAGAAACACTTTTAAAACCTCTTTTTATATCAATTAATAAATAATTTTTTTATTAATAATACTTGCCTAATTAGATTTTCTTTTATTAAAAAACTCATAATAAATAGAAAAAGAGTTAATTTGTGTTAGAGTTTTATACAAACTCTCTAAATATATATGATAGAGTTTTACTAAGAAACTCATAATAAAAGCTAATTTGTGGTAGAGTTTTAGAAAAATTATTTTTATGTTATATATCAATTAATGAAAATTTTTTATATTAATAATTCTTGTATAATTAGATTTTCTTTTATTAAAAAATTCATAATAATAAATAGATAAATAGGTTAATTTGAATTTTATTAGGTTGATTTTAGAGTTTTATTTTTATTTATAAAACTCTTTTCATATCAATTAATAAATATTTTTTATATAAATAAATAAATAATGAAACTCTTTGCACATTTAATAATAGTGTAGATAAAAACTATTTTTATATAAATAAATAAATACTGAAACACTATTTTTACATAAATAAATAAATACTGAAACTCTTTGGCAGAACTTATGTATTTTACTCTGAAATTATAGACTTCTGAGTTTCTCAAGAATTTTGGATTTCTAGAATTCTTAGGTAGATTTTAGAGTTTTATAGAGTTTTTTATTTTATTTTATAAAAACTCCTTTCATATCAATTAATAAAAAATAACTATTCTTTTATATTCATTAATAATTATTTTATTAGATAGATTTTAGAGTTTTATAGAGTTTTTTTTTATTAAAAAAAAAATACTAAAACTATTTTGCAGAGCTTATGTATTTTACTATGCAATTCTGAATTTCTAGAATTGTCAATTTCTGTACCCCTTCCTCAATTCTCCATGCCTCTATTTATAAGCTTCTTCGATTAATAGGATGATGACATGTGTCCTCCCCTAATAATGACATAATCATAACCGAGCGAGATGGTTATATTATGATAATTATCCATAAAAATAACTATTATTTTTATATGAATTAATAAATATTTTATCGTGGTTGATTTTTTTAGGTAATTTTTAGAGTTTTATAGAAACTATTTTTATAGAAACCTTTTTATATCAATTAATAAATATTTTATCGCGACTGATTTTATTAGGTGATTTTTAGAGTTTTATAGAAACTATTTTTATATCAATTAATAAATAATTTTTTATCTAAATAAATAAATACTGAAATACTACAATAGTGAAACTCACAAGTCACAACAAAAGCTAATTTCTTATCTGGGATAGAGTTTTAAAGAAATTAAAATAGTTTATTTGTGTTAGAGTTTTACAGAAACTCTTTAAATATATCTTTATCGAATGTGATAGAATTTTATTGAAAATAAAATAGATAATTTGTGGTAGATTTTTATATAAATTATTTATTTTCTTTAAATATATATATCATTATATACTTAGATTTTCTTTTATTAAAAAATTCACAATATAAGGTAATTTGTGGTAAAGTTTTAAAAAAATTATTTTATTTTTTATATCAATTATTAAATATTATTATATTAGTAATTCTTGTCCAGTAATATTTTCTTTTATTAAAAAACGGGTTAAATGCAAAAATACTCCCTTGAACTATTGACAAATTTGCAACTAACCCTCCTGAACTACAAAAATTGCAAAAAAAACCCCTAGACTATACAATTTTGTTGCCGATCACTCCATCCGACTGCCGGCCATAAAAAAATGGGCGCGTGAGAATTACGCGATAGACAAACCAAATTTTTTGGACAATAATGCCCTTCCAAATATGAAAATACCAAATTGTCCTTTCTTGTAGATGATTTGGGTATGAAATTGTTCATCTTTTTCCTCCAAATTTTTCATGATTCCTTCTCGAATCACCGAAATCAACAACTTTCTCCAATCTGATTTTCTTAATATGTTCAATCACCATCAGAAACAAACAAATATATATATATAAATATATATATATATAAAATATAAACACACACACACATATATAAACAGAAGGATATGGATCCAATCTGATTTTCATGATGGTGATTGCGGAAGTGAGGAAAGTCGTGTGTAGAGGTGATGGTGGTGTTGTGGCGGCGGCGGCGGCTGTGGTCGGAGGAGGAGACGGATCTAGTGGAGGTGGCTGTGGTGTTGTGGCGGCGGCAGCTGTGGTCGGAAGAGGAGATGGAACTAGTGGAGGAGGTGGTGGTGTTGTGGTCAAAGAAGAAGACACGCCGGTCCTTTCCACCATCGCCATTTAGCCCACCTTGCTCGTTGGTCCTCTCCACCATTCGAGCTCGTCCCCACTGCCACCGAGTCATCCACGACTAAGCCACCGCCGAACCAACCGCCGAGCTCACTGCTGCATTTCTTCCCCACCGCCGCTGCCGCCACTTCATCGCAGTCCTTTCCATCTCTGCTATTGTGCAGTTACTATCTAGCTCTCGAGTAAGATCTATGCCTTACGATCGATTGGTTCACCAAGTGGCTTGAACCGAAATCCGTATACCAAAGCAAGCATAGAAAATTGAACTTCGATTTCGTACACAAATTCATTCGAACGTGAGGCAACCGATGAGCAAGGGGAAGCCAAAGGACGAATAGCGGGCTGGGTAGAGTTGATCACCCTCTTGGAACATAAACTAAAAGAGGAGCTTGCATTTCTCTCACTGATTCTCATTCGTTCCCTCGTTACCGGCCGATCCAGATGAACCGCATAAGAAATCCAGATGTTTAGACAGTGGTGACGCCATCGACGACTTGATCACTGTAGATTTCAAAAACTAAACAAATTGCTCAAGATTCAATTTTCAATCATTTAATCCAAAACTTGATTGAGACGAATTGCTCAGGCATATTTTCAAAATCCCTTGAATTGACAGAGTCATCAAAGTGAAATACACAAATCGATTGGTGAGTGGTCGAACAAAGGCTGTGAAATTGCAAATGGAAGCAAAATCATTCGTCCAGAAATTGGTGAATTTATCGCCAAGTGAACGAAACCACTGGAATCTGACACCTTCATCAGCCCTAATTCAAAGTAATCCTTTATAGATAGTAACCTTTCTTTACTCCTCTATGCAAAAGTGTCTCATCCAATGTTCGTTGCCATTTGAATGAGTGTTGTGTTTCATAAGAAACTAAACTGAACTTTATTCCTTTGGTAAAGCATATGTGATTCTCTCGCCACAACCGCCGAATCTGTATAGCCGGTTCACTGCCGCCGTTTATCCAAAGCGTCCTTAGGTTGAGTTGTGTTAAATGTTTTGGCAAAAAAAAAAGGAAAGTAAGAAGTGTATAAAATGACGTAGTGTATAGGAAGGGTAAACTGGTCTTTCAAATTTTTTGGCATCACAAGATGACTTTATGGGGTAAATTGCAACAAAATCATAGTTTAGGGGGAGTTTTTTGTAGTTCAGGGGGGTTTGTTGCAAAACTTTAATAGCTCAGGGGTTTTTTTTTGCTTTTAACCATTAAAAAACACATAAATAATGGATAAATAAGTAATTTGTGTTAGAGTTTTATATAAACTATTTTAAAAAATTATTTTATTTTATTTAAATATACTCTTGTCTAATTAAATTTCCTTTTATTAAAAAACTCATAGTAAATAGATAAATACAGTTTATATGTGATAGAGTTTTAAAGAAAATAAAATAAATAATTTGTGGTAGAGTTTTATATAAATTATTATTTTTTAAAAAAAAAAATATTCATAATAAATAGATAAATACATGTTGTATGTGATAGAGTTTTATAGAAAATAAAATAGCTAATTTGCTGCAGAGTTTTATAGAAATTATTTTATTTTGTTTAAATATATTCTTGTCTAATTATATTTTATTTTATTAAAAAACTCTTAATAAATAAATATTGTAATAGATTTTTATAGAAAATAAAACAGCTAATTTGTGGTATATTTTATAAAAAAAAATTATCTTTAAATATGTTCTTGTTTAATTAAATTTTCCTTTATTAAAAAAACTCATAATAAAAATATAAATAGGTAATATGTGTTAGAGTTTTATAGAAAATATTTTTAAAACTATTTTTATATGAATTAATAAATATTTTTATATATTTATAATTCTTGTCTAATTAGATTACCTTTTATTAAAAAAAAAAAAAACTCATAATAAAAGTTAATTTGCGGTAGAGTTTTAGAAAAATTATTTTATTTTTTACATCAATTAAAAAATATTTTTTATATTAATAGTTCTTGTCTAATTAGATTTTCTTGTATTAAAAAACTCATAATAACTAAATAAATAAATAGGTGTAATACCCCGTAATTTTAAAGAGTTTATTTAAATTAATTTTGTGTTAGGTTAATTCTTTAATTTGTAGATTTATTCACCTTTTAATTATATATGTTAAATTATTTAATTAATTTTATTTATTTGTGCATGTAATATTGATTTTATGTTCTATATATTATAATGATTAGTTTAGAAATTTTATTGGTTATGTTTTAGATTAATTAATATTAGTTAATTAAAGTATTCAATTTGTATTGTATAATAATAATAATAATAATAAAACAATGTCATGATGTAAAGTTAATATTAGGATAGAATTTCATTTACTATGGTAGAATGGTAGATCAAATAACTTGACTAAGATTGCATTGCCTTAAAGCCATATAGGTGGGAATGTTGAAAGTTAATGTTTAGGTTAGATATTTGTATTATATATATTATATAAATTAGTATATATTAGTTAGTTAGTTACAATTTGAAAGAAAACTCACATAAGTAGAAGAGCAAAATAACAGTGAGCAATTGTTGAAGAGTGAAAGGAAGAGAGAGAAAGAAAGGAGCTTGGACCGGTGTAGGGAATTTACCGGATTACGCGCAGACCGGCGGATTTATTTTAAATCCATAAGGTAAGTTATTATCTACTTTTCCCCTTTGAATCCATAAATTATTCATTTAATTTATTTCGGCTTTTTAGAGACTAGAAACCATGCTAGGAATTTCAATAAATTAATTTTTAGTTTATTAAAGTAATGAGATTTTAATTATTAAAGGTGTTAGATAATTATTTATTAGCTTATGTAATTAAAATATAGCTAAAAATAATTATTTAAGGCTTTAGGGATTTTTTTAGAATTTTCTAAGACTTTTCGGGAATTTTCTGTAAATTCCGGCGAGACTCCGGCGAGGTTTCCGGCCACCGGCAGTGAGGAAGGTGACCGGAGTGATCCGGCGTGATACAGCGCACAAGGGTTACTATGCACGTGCATCAACAGCCATTAGATTTAATAGCAATCAGTAGATCAATTGCATGTAACGCAGAACATTGTATATCGATGTACACGCATCAGTAGCCGCAGGATTAATTTAGGATCAGTAGATTAATCCAGTATAGCACGCCCACGGAGAAGCGGTACAACCGACCAACCAGCACACGCCACGTCAGCAGGAACCATTAGTGCGCGCGTGGCAGCGCGTGCGTGCGCGTGACTGATTCTAGACGGGCATGGGGGCGCGTGTAAGCGCGTGCGCATGTGAGAAAAGTGGAGGCGCGTGTGGGAAGCTCTGGGAGGTGCGTGGGGGCGCGTGAGGGACCCCTACAGCTACTGGAAAAGTCCAGAATACCCCTAGGGACTGTTTTGTAATTTCCAGAACCTTAAACTTGCATTTTTGGGCCTATGGTTGGTACTTACGGGTTTAACAGGACATTAAATTATTATTTTATTACCTGTTAGTTATTATTATGTCCGATTAATATTTTTTAAATATTAATTGTATCGTTTTCAATACAGATCACCATTAAACGGATGTAATTAATTTAATGACATTGTTAATTATTAATTGTGTTATTATTTTATTAAACGGTATTAATCATTAATGTTAAAATTAAATGATTACATGGTTTTAATTCAAATAAATTGTCTGTTATACATTACAGGATTATTTATGTTGTTAATGATATACAAATCATTATTATTATGCTGTGTGCATTTCAGGAGAATAATGGATTGCTCAATAAATTATGTCACATTTATATTATATGGATGTGTTGTCATATAGAACCATGTGAGCCGACTAATAAGTTGAGACTCATTTATACCTTATGCATTCGTTGCCATAGACAGATGTGTGGTTGTCGGGGTATGTGGTTTAATATTATTGGCATGTGTTGCCTAAGTGATATGCTCAGTATATTCATTAATACCTTGAGATGTGTTACCACTGTGTAGGACTTATAGTCTGTGTTGTCAGTACCGTGCACCATGTATTAATAGTTGATTTCCCAGGTAGGGAAAGGAGACACTTAACCACCTCGTGTGAGTCTAAGTGATCACCGTCTATTCTGGTTGAGGTCTTATTATACATTGTGTAGTTTCCTTAGGGTGTATACAGATATAGTATACTTCCGAATAATAATGATTAATTTATTTGATTCTCTGATTTGGGTCACAGTAGAGAGGACTTGCTCGTGGGGTTGACCCACCATTGTTGTTATTTCAGGTTACGGTCAGTACCCGTTCCAAAGTTGAGGTTAGCAGTGTGGGACCACCATCCGAACTCATCTACTCTTACGATCCAGTTCAGGGTAGAAGTTTTATGTATTACTTCAGTTTCAGTTTTTATTTACTTTTGACGTTGAACTCTCAGGTCTATATTTAGGGATCCTTAACATAGGATTTCCAAGTTGTAATGGTGTACTATATTAAATAAAGGATGGATGGATGTTGTATTATTTAGTATTCCTTTTCTGTCTAAATTCTTTTATTATTATCATTTTGTATTCCATGCTTGTATATTGCCAATTGTTTTGATATCCCTCGTTTTTCGTGTATAAGCCTGATCAACTTATGCGTGAAAAATGTTGGGGATGTCACAATAGGTAATATGTGTTACAGTTTAATTGAAACTCTTTTAAAAATTATTTTTATATCAATTAATAAATATTTTTTATATTAACAATTCTTGTCTAATTAAATTTTATTTTACTAAAAAACTGATAATAAATAGATAAATAGGTAATTTGTGTTAAAATTTATAGAAACTTTTTTAAAACTTCTTTTTATATCAATTAATAAATAATTTTTTATATTAATAATACTTGTCTAATTAGATTTCCTTTTATTAAAAAACTCAAAATAAATAGATAAAGAGGTAATTTGTGTTAGCGTTTTATAAAACACTTTAAATATATCTTTGTCTAGTGTAATAGTGTTTTATTGAAAATAAAATTGATAATTTGTGATAGAGTTTTATAGAAATTATTTTATTTTTCTTTAAATATATCCTTGTCTAATTAGATTTCATTTTATTAAGAACCTCATAATAAAATATTTTTTATATTAATAATTATTGTCTAATTAGATTTTATTTTATTAAAGATTTCATAATAATAAATAGATAAATAGGTTTATATGAATTTTATTAGGTAGATTTTAGAGTTTTATTGAGCATTTTTTTTTTTTTTTTTAATAAAAACTCCATAAAAAATAACTATTCTTTTTATATCAATTAATAAATATTTTATTACGTAGATTTTAGAGTTTTATAGACTGTTTTTTTTTTTGATTTTTTTTTTATTTATAAAAACTTTTTTCATATCAGTTAATAAAAAATTACTATTCTTTTTATTTCAAATAATAATTATTTTATTAAGTAGATTTTAGAGTTTTATATAATTTTTTTTATTTAAAAAAACACTTTTCATATCAATTAATAAATAATTTTTTATATAAATATATAAATACTGATAGACCTAAAAATATAAATAAAACTTTGAAAGAATTTCTGTATTTTACTTTGTAATTCTGGATTTTTAAAATTCTCAATTTTTGTGCCCCTTCCTCTTTCCTCTATGCCTCTTTTTATAGGTTTCTTGAATTAATAAGATGCTGACATGTGTCCTCTCTTGATAATGACATAATTATAACTGGGCCGGGCCAGTTATATTGTGATAATTATTCATAAATTTTTTTTACTAATTAGATTTCCTTTTTAAAAAAAACTCATAATAAATAGATAAATAGGTAATTTGTATTAGAGTTTTACACAAACTTTTTTATAACCTCTTTTTATATCAATTAATAAATACTTTTTTATATTAATAATTTTTGTCTAATTAGATTTTATTTTATTAAAAAAACTCACAATAAATAAATAAATAGGTAATTTGTGTTAGTGTTTTATAGAAACTCTTTAAATATATCTTTGTCTAATGTGATAGTATTTTATTGAAAATAAAATAGGTAATTTGTGATAAATTTTTATAGAAATTATTTTATTTTCTTTAAATATATTCTTGTCTAATTAGATTTTATTTTATTAAAAAATTCAAAATAATAAATAGATAAATAGGTTTATTAGAATTTTATTAGGTAGATTTTAGAGTTTTATAGAGTATTTTTTATATATATATGAAAACTCCATAAAAAATAACTAATTTTTTTATATCAGTTAATAAATATTTTATTAGGTAGATTTTAGAGTTTTATGGAGTTTTTTTTTTTATTTTTAATTTTTATAAAAACTCTTTTCATATCAATTAATAAAAAATTACTATTCTTTTTATATAAATTAATAATTATTTTTTAAGGTAGATTTTAGATTTTTATATAGTTTTTTTCTTTCTATATATAAAAACTCTTTTAATATCAATTAATAAATAAATTTTTATATAAATAAATAAATACTGATAGACCTAAAAATATAAATAAAAACCCTTTCTATATCAATTAATAAATATTTTTTTATATAAATAAATAAATACTGAAATGCTAAAACTCTTTCGAGCTTTTGTATTTTACTCTAAAATTCTGGATTTTTAGATTTCTCAATTTCTTGATAATTTATGTAGATTTTAGATTTTTATAGAGTTTTTTAAAAAAAAAAAAAAAAAATTCTTTTCATATCAATTAATAAATATTTATTTTAAATAAATAAATAAATACTGATAGACCTAAAAATATAAATAAAAACTCTTTTTATATCAATTACTTAGTATATTTTTTTATATAAATAAATAAATATTGAAATACTAAAACTCTTTCAAGCTTCTATATTTTCCTCTGGAATTCTGGATTTCTAGAATTCTCAATTTCTTCTGTACCCCTTCCTCCATGTCTCTATTTACAAGCGTCTTGAATTAATAGGATGATAACATTTGTCCTCTCCTGATAATAACATAATTATAACTGGGCCGGAGTGGTTATATTGTGATAATTATCCATAAATTTTTCTTACAGTTTTTTAGTAACTATTTTTATATAAATTAATAAATATATTTTTATATAAATAAATAAATACTGAAATATTGAAATTTTTTGTACATTTAATAATAGTATAGATATAGATATATACACACATAGAATATATCATAATGAAAGAAGTTTTGTAAAAGTCAACGGTATTTTAAAATAACTAAAAAAACCTATATTTATATACATTTATTTAGTTATTCTATATTTATATACACATTACCTGACTTTTTCACGCAATTGTTTTCCTTCAAATTATTACATATACATATCATATAACCTAAAACTGTTTTCCTTCAAATTATTTACATATACATATCATATAACCTAAAACTTTTCTCAAATTCATCAGTATTTTAATTAACTAAAAAGCCGATTCCACATACCTCACCTTTAACACATTTGTTTCATGAAAGTTTAACTTCTTTTACTGGTACATATGTAATAATGACAAAGTTATTCTAAAAGTTCCCTTTTAATTAATGCCAAACACCTTCTGTATTTTAAATTAATAAATAAATCTCACTTAAAAGACACTAGCATTTTTCAGTTTAAGAACAAAATAAATAATTAAAATATATTTTAACATTACTTTTTGGAATAATTGCCTCAAGAAGTTGTTATTTTAAATAGAGTTGTTTCCAAATTAAAATACCTATTGTATATATATACATATACTTTAAATCATAATTTTTAGTTATTTACAATTAGGTTTTTATTTTTCTGCAACTTTTCTATGTCATTATGTTTCTTTCCTAGAACCAAATCTATTATTATTTTTATTTCCTTATATTTGAATTTCTGGGCAATATGACAATGTATGCATGGAAGACATTGGAGTACTATTATTTCATATTATTGCTTTCCTTTTTATTATACAGGTTAGAAGTTTCTCAACTTTTTAGTCTTTTCTCTTTAATTTTAATATTTGATTTTATATTGTATTTTAACTTTTATTATGGTTAGATGGAACAGTGCGACCCCTTTTTTTTTTTTTTTTGAATTATATATATATATATATATATATATATATTGAATTTTATTTTTGTTGAATAAAATCATTGAAAGTCATATCTTAAAAAAAACCTAATATAATGAAACCAAAACACGTGTGACTGGTAATTTATTCATGTTGGTTGAAAGTGAGATTCAATTAGTCTCACAGAACAATTCAATCTATGAAACTTTCTCTGAAAAGGAAAAAGAATAAAATGTTATTCAACCCGTGTCTATTATAGGTCCTACGTGAATCGTTTTATATCGTGTTATATCAGATTATTCATTATTATTTTAAAATTGGGTTTATTTAATTAAATGTACTAAAAAAAATCATATTTAAAGATATAAAAAAGAAAATAATACAGTTACCTAACTGTTTAAATATATCACATATGTGCAAAAAAATAAAAATACAAACTAAAATTTAAAAGAACAACAAGCCCTCAAATAATTTTGATAGTAATAACTAATAATTTTTTTAATTAAAATTATAATATCAAATAATAATAAATTTAGATGATAAAAAAAAATATCAAATTACCTGCCGCACGATTGACTGAGTCTCTGTGTATTGATAAATGGTTGCTCCGCTTGTTTTATTTGAATTGTGAAAAATGTTGAAGATGAAGATTTAATAAAAATAATCCATTTGTTTATGATAAAGTCAAAAAGTGTGGTAAAATATCTTGATGAATTTTTTTTCTTTAAGAAAGTGGTAAATAATATAATATTTTGAGAAAATATAAATTGATAGATACAATTGAATGAACTTTTAGTTTTATATATATATATATATATATATATATATATATATATATAATATTACGCGTCTACTGTCAAATTTTAGAGGGGAGCAACAATACAAATACAAATACAAAAAAAAATTCATAAAAATTTTAAAAAATTAAAAATTCAGTGGAACAGTTGCCCCCATTTTTCCCGGCTACGGCATTGAATGATTTCATATATATATATATCCAAGTTCAAAATTTCTGAATCAATGACTACTACCTACTTACCTATCTAACCCTCTCTTTTTTTTCTCTTTGCACGAAGTTTTGCTGGAATTCCAAATAAATTTTTTTTTTTGGCCTGGCAAAAGAAACAACAACAAGACAAACAAAACAAGAAACCTCAACAACCCAAAACAAACCAACAAGAAAACAAAAACTACGAAGAAAGAACCATGGCATCCAAAGTCAGAAGCAGAAATGTGTGGCGGGAGTGAAAACAGCTCCTGATCAACAAGGAAAAGATCTCGAGACAGCATAGCAAGATCATGAGCTACTTGATTGCCCAAACAACGAACATGCTCCAAAGAAGCAACAGCGAAAGACTGAAGGTCCATGCGAATATCAAAACAAATCGATGCAATTTCAAATGGGCAACTCGAAGCATCTTGAACAGCGTCAACCACACCCTTAGCGTCAGACTCAAAACATAAGCGTTGATACCCAAAAGAAGAAGCCCAAAAGATTGCACGGAGACAAGCATATGCTTCAGTCATCAATGCCGAAGAAGCAAGGAAAGGCCGAAAAACAACAGCATGAAGAATATGACCCCGACAATCCCGAAACACAGCACCTCCACTACCACGGGAAGACTGCGAAGAGAAGCTAGCATCGAAGTTACACTTAACCATCCCTTCAGCAGGTGGAACCCAACACCTCGCAGAGGATGGGCTATCAGAGGAAGCCAAGGAAGAACATAGTGACCGAGCATCCTGAAACTCCCAAAAGTTAGCAACTGCTTTAGCCGCCACCTGCACCAGACTCCATAACAGGCCATGGAACACCCGATGATTGCGCGCTTTCCAAATAAACCACGCACAAAAGGACATTAACCCTAGAGCCAAGGATTGATCCGGAGACGTAGAAGCCCACCATATAAAAAAACTCCAGCCATCCAAAAAGGAGTGGAATGACACAGAAGAGAAATCAAGGTGAAATGGTGATAGCCTCCATACCTGAACAGAATGAGAGCACCGGAAAAAAAGATGGACCAGCGATTCCTCTTCCATCCCACACCGTGAACATAAAAGAGAATCCACACACCCCCTCCACAATAACGACAAACCAGTAGGCAATGCATTATGACAGCACCGCCAAAGAAAATGCTGGATCTTAGAGAGAGTAGCACACCTCCAAACCACACGCCAATGAAAACCGTCCGAAGAAGCTGCCCTAGGATCAGAAAAGGATCGTGCAAGAGCATAAGCAGAGCGAACAGAAAAAGACCCATTCCGCTCAGGTGCCCAAATCAAAGTATCCGGTTTATCCCAACGACTAATATGTAACTGTAAAATTTTCTAAACAACCGATGAAGGAAATAAATAACGCAATACATCCACCTTCCAGGTAAAAGTATGAGGACAAAACAAACTTGCAACAAAACGAAATGGCACCACCCCCAAGAGACGAGGTAGCAAATCCGAAAAATCAGGTACCCTATAGTCCTGCCAAATACGAATGGATTTCCCATTGCCTACCAACCACCGTAAGTCTCGTCGTAAAAGAGACTGAGTGGACCAAATACTCCTCCAACCCTAAGATGGATTATACCCCAGCTGAGCATGCAAAAAGGAAGAAATTGGAAAATACTTGGCCTTAAGAAGCTCAAAGGCCAAACCATGCTAACAGACCTGAAGATTCCAAGCATGCTTAGTTAGCAATGCTAAATTAAATGCCTCAAAATCCTGGAAACCAAGCCCACCAAATTTCTTATGCCGGCATAACAAATCCCAATGAACCCAGTGATTGGAACGATCCTTACCGGAATTGCACCACCAGAAGGAACGAATCTTTTTCATTAACTCTAAACATAACATACGACGAAGACGGAAAGAAGACATAACATACGTAGGCAAAGCACTGAGCACCGCTTTAACCAACACTTCTTTCTCACCACTAGATAAAGTATTCGCTTTCCACGAAGACAACCGGTCTTGCACCCGATCCAGTAAAAAATGAAAAACATCTCGCTTAGACTGACCCACAATAGCCGGAACACCTAAATAACGAGCATGTAAGCCTTTCAATTGCAAACCCAATAACTCGCTTAAAATCCAGCGCCGATCAGAGGGAGTGTTTTTAGAAAAGAAAATTGATGATTTACAAAATTAATTTGTTGGACCGATGCCTGTTCATAATCAACCAAAATGCGTTTTAAGAAGCGGACTTCAGATTCAACAGCAGCACAAAAAATAATAAAACATCCGCAAAGAACAGGTGAGAAACCGAAGGAGCCATCTACATCCTCGCTTTCTTTCGCGTGCTATCGATCACTCTGTGTCTGTTTCTCTCTCTCTCTCTCTCTCTTGGGTTATAGATATTAATGAGAACAAATATCTTGCTGGCACAGTAGTAGAGACCTGGCATTGAGTATGACACGAAAGAGATGGGAAAGTCAGATTTCTGAAGCTACTCTTATTGGTTATATGATTCGTATCTCCTTGCGTCAACATTTACAATAGGTGAGTGATGCAGGGATAGTCATAATGGGATTGCTTAGTTTTGTGGGCGTCACCATCAATCTTTGACTAGACCACTAGTTAGTGTGAGTTCATTTTGAGAGATTTGGGATTCAAACCAAATCCAAAATGGATGCGAGAAGGCACCCAAAAAAATAAAAAAATAAATGTGAAAGTGGTGAAGTATTAGGTGCATCATTACGTCTTTCCCATCACCTGCAAGTCTCTTTCTCTCTCTCCCTTTATTGTTTGCAATCTTTGCTTATTCTTTCAAGTCTTTCAATTTGAACTAAACCTAAATACTATAACTGCACTCACCCATTTCTCCTATTTACATTTTCCAACTAAGGGCAGCCACCCATTTCTCCTATTTACATTTTCCAACTAAGGGCAGTCGGTATTTCAATAGTTATACTGGCTCGCAATGCATATATTGATTGCTAGCCATGTCAGTAATTGTGCTGACGTGGCTAGTTACAGTAATTTGTTAGGAAAAGTTGATGGTACGACGATAAATATTTATTATTTTATTAATTTTTGTTGGTCAAAATCTATTGCCTTTTTATTAACAAAAAGGAAACAAACAAACAGGGAAGCTTTGGGCCCACTTTAGGCTAGCAATCAGGCTGTTATCTGTGGCGATGCATTTTGCTAGCAAAATATGCTGGCCCACCATTAGCCAGCACCACACGGTCCCTTAGGGCCTGTTTGGTTTCTGTTCTGTGGTGTGATGTATTGTTCCTTACAGTGCTACAGTACCCATTGCTTGGAACACATGCTGTTTGGGGCGGGCTGTGTTGGTTTGCACAGTTGCAGAACACTTGGGAAAAAAGGCTGAATTCGTGGAACACCAAATTGGTGTTCTTGGGTGTTCCAACTTCATTCGAGGCACAACTTTCACTGTAGCAAGAAGAACACTTCATCACACCTTCGCTGTTTTGAGAAGAAGTATAAAAGAGAAATAGGAACATGTTCTAGGTTTTATAATTTTGTTTATTTACTCTGTAAGTGACCACAGTCCAATTTAATAATAGTAGTGTATCATTTTATCTTTTTTTTCATTCAATTTTGGATGTCATTTTAGGCATATGTTTGGTAAAATTAAACTTTTATTTATTTTTTTATGATGATATTTAACAGATTTTGTTTACCTCTATTTAGTGTCTAACACAGAAAATATATAGTATATAAATTAAAATTTTAAGAAAGATAAGTGAAATCATTCTCCCTGCTCCTTGGAATATACTTTTCTAATAATATACTTTTCTTTGTTTTGATTTAGTCACATGATCGTCCATTTATATGGTTGGATAACATGCACCATAGTCTGCAAGTGGATGGTCATGTGCAGGAAGAGTTGGAGGATGTAGTTGCTGTTATGCAAGCTCAACAAAATCGGCAAAACTACATTATCTATGGCTGTTGTTATTGTCTTACTATAACTATATTCTTTATGTTTTTCCTCATATTGTTGTAGTTGATTATTGTGACTGTTAATAAATGATGTAATATATTAGTTTAATTTTATTTCATGAACTTTTATTGTGCCTGTCCGCAAATGCTGTAATATTTTTGAAACAATGTAGTCCATAACTGTGAAAATAATATGCATCATTAATAGGTTTTACAATTTAGAATTTATTTTATTAGTTTTTATAATAAACTAAGATAAATTATTAACAATATATATATATATTAAAAATTATATCAATTGTATATTAAAATTATACAATAATTAATTTTTACTTTATATTTAATAAAGTTATAAAAAATGTATTGATGGAAACATTATTAGTAAATATTCTTTACCAAACATATTTAATTATTATATTTTTTTTACTGATTTTGGTTACACTTTCACTTTACCAAATATATTTTGTTCTCATAATTCTTAGAACAAAACACATTGCCAAATATGTTCTACCATGTTTTTCTCCCAAAATTCTCAAAGCAACTGTAATGCGTCAAACATGTTTTGTTCTCATTTCAGAACACCACACTACAAAACATTTGTTCTGTTCTAGACTAGAGCACTACACCAGACCACACTACAAACTCCAAACAGGCCCTTAGTATCGTAATACTGACTGATTTGCTAGCAAAAATCTATCCACTGGTTGCTCTAAGAGTGGTGAATTATGAGAGATCATCGTGTCAGAAAAAATAAAGACAACTAGTACTACTTTGATGAACAATTAGACAAATAGTACTACTTTGATGGTTTTATCGTACAATTCACTCACGGTCAATTGCAACCACTAGTGTTGCACTAGTGTTGGTACCTTTGGATTCCAATCTACTGAGCTCTACTACAATCAATATAATCTTTCCATTGGCTCCCACCAATTCGTCAATGGTCCGGGTTAGATTCTTCTTTGTTGGGCTGGCTACTTAGTAGGCCGGGTTCAATGCACTCCCAAGTGGGCCCATTTCTGAATTCAGCCCATCAAGCTTCTTGAACTTGCGTACGTTGCTTGTCTGTAGTAGTTTGATTTCAATCATGCATTAGGGGATGTAGAGCTCAAATGGAAGCGCGTGAGAGGTACGGGGCTCGATCCCTCTGCATCTCCAAGTTATTAATAACTTCTTGCACCTTACAGTTTACACCCTTATCATTTTATTTCAGACCTAATTTTGCAATTTCTTTGTATAAATTATAATATACTGGTCAAAATTGACTTTTCCCACTCTAAATCAATTTTTTATAAAATAACATGTGTAAAATAAAATATAATAATCATTATTTAGATGGTTATTCGAATTTGGGTTTCTTTTTTTGAACATTAGTGGACATATCTTTTTCGATTTATCAATTTCTAAACTCACTTTTGTTAGTAAGGACCTCGTATGACTATATCAAAGTTATTGATACAAAGCTCAGGTTTTGTTATATTGCATGACATATATGGCAAATAAATTACTAATTTAATTTTTTAAACTAATATTTTAATAATAAAAAAAATGTTTCCCAACAATTTAGTCACGAACAAGTTCACTGAACTAAATAATTTCTTAACCACGTTTGGGTTCAGTGTGATGACGACTTTGCAATGAGTTGTCAATCATATTTGGATTCAGTGTGCCGTCAACTTTGCAGTGAGGGTTTGTGGATCTCAAACACTTCAGGTTAATCAAATTCATTTGTTATGCGCTGGGTTGCTCTAATACCATTGGATTCCTTCTTCATAACACAGACAATGAATTTGATTGGATCTTGCAACAGTTTGAATTGCGTCAGAGAACATACTAAATATATAGATGGTACACAGTGACACAACTCAGGAGTAAAAAGGCTCCAAATTGATTACTCTTTCCTCTTTTTAGTTTTTTGCGGCTAAATATTTGTATATATTACCTCCGTTTCATATTTAAATGTCATTTTCGAAAAATATGGTTTACAACACTTTTGAAAAATGTGACTCACTCCGACAAATTGTGAATCACATTTTCTGAATACAACATTTAAAATGAGACAAAGGTAATATTTCTTTTGTTTCATTTTAGATGTTGGATTCGAAACTGTAACTCAAAAGAATTTTGTGAGTCGCAATTTTTGAAACTAATACCTAAAATGGGATGAAAATAATATATGTTTAAGTACCCACATGAAGATATATTTTATTCTAATCATATGGTGTCTACAATCATTCTTTGGTTCGCTGTTGTGTGTGTGTGTGTGTGTTTTTTTTTTTTTCGGATTTTGTGGATTTTCCATATCTTGGTATCTAACTTGAAGTAGTTGGATTGGTTGGTTCAGAAAATTGGAGGCCGACCCAACCCTACTTCTACCCACTCCTCAACAACCACCTGCATTAATTTCACTGTAAGCATTCATAGTTAATGTCTTTGATAATAGTAGTATTGTACTCTGGGTAGTTATCAACTTGCAAACAAACATGAAGTGGGTTGGTGACAGAAATAAACTGTTCAGTAAGTGGGTTGGTGTATGCAGTCACTTAATTTTATGATCGAAAATCACAATCAACTGGACTATATATATATATGTGTGTGTGTACTTTGTAATTAAACTTTTTTTGATATGTCAAAACCTGAGCATCTGTCTATCGGAAGATTTGGGTGTATTACAGGATCAATAGCTGCTAACATCAATAGACTTAATTTTTTTGCAGTTTCATCATGTCTTTTCTCGTATTGGTTGTTCAGTTTATATATGGTTGAAATAGTTGCATTTGAAGTTCTTATTGCCCGTTTAGTTTATATAATCAATTTTATGTTTCAGATGTTTTTTTTTTTTTTCATTTATTCATTTTGCTGATTTGCGAATAACATAGGTTTTTTACACGTTTATGAAATTTTATTGGTGTTTTAGGATATATGAAATGGGATGATTTGCACTCTTTTAATGGTTTTTGGTAATGTGACTTCTGACAGGCAAAATGGAGAATCAAGTCATTTCCGATGTTGAAACTTATATTGCATTTGAAACGGTGAATGGCAATCTCATTAAGGGCTTGTTGGTAGCAGAAGCAGAGTTTAGATCGCTTCAAGCTATATTGGAGCACTTAAATAAAACAATTGATATTCTCGAAGCTAAATTGGAGCAATTAAATGAAACAATTGAGGATGTGGAAGCCACAAGGGATGTCCGGAGAAGATCATCATATCAAATACTAGTAATAAAAAGTTCATTGTATACTGCGAAAACAGGGAGGGAAGAGGTGATTCAAAGAAAAATTAATTTTATCAACCAACGACAGGCAGAAATTAATAGTAATAATACGATGATGAATAATTTGAAAACGAATATAATTAGTCATATAAAAAATGCTAGTAGAAATATAGAATTAGAGTTGACTTCTAAGAAAGATGTATATTTTATTTTTAAATTTAAAAGTTGGATTAGCGGAACAATTACAAGAAGATTTTAAATTATCGTATTATATAGATTTTTTTATTAATAAAAATTTATTAGGTAATATAAAAGCTGCTGGTAGACAACTGAAATTTAATGGCTACTGAAGATGAAGAAGAAATTATTTCGGATGATGTGTAAATTGATTTTAATATATTATAATATTTTTTCTCGAGTATTAGTTTGCTTTATTTTTCATTAGTTTGATTGAATTTGTATAAATTTTAATGTATATATTGAAAATAATGTAACCGGACCAAGTGTGACTACTAGCCAAATCATATTCTCTTTTTATGCTTTCAAATATTTTACATTAAAGGAACCCACATTTCAATGATGATAAGCTTCCAAATCATAATGCCTAACAACTTATATGATCAAAACCTTGCAGAAATAATAAATAGCTTATAGTTTTCTAAAAGAAATACAAAAACTTGGACAGAAGAGCA